AGTAAACGTAAATTATGTTTAATATAGAAGCAATTTAGGTAAACAAGTAAACCGTAGAGAATTGGTCCTTTTTCACAGTAAACAGTAATTAATGTTGGCTTAATTGTTTTGGGATATTTTAACTCTTATTTTTAGACATTTCATACTTTAATTGTATCTAATTGTGAATACTAATCATGGAATTTTCTTCTTCTTATTTTTTAATCTCTTTTAAACAGATTATCGTCAAATTGAAAGTTAAATACAATTAGGAAAACAATGAAGATCATTTTGTGTGTCACCCTTTAACAATTTGTTGCTATGCATGTTGCCAAGTCTTACCCTTGTATAAGCTGAAAGCGCTGGATTCAAAGCGCAACAAGTAAAAATGGTGATTAACAAAATGATCTTCATTGTTTTCCTAATTGTATTTAACTTTCAATTTGACGATAATCTGTTTAAAAGAGATTAAAAATAAGAAGAAGAAAATTCCATGATTAGTATTCACAATTAGATACAATTAAAGTATGAAATGTCTAAAAATAAGAGTAAAATATCCAAAACAATTAAGCCAACATTAATTACTGTTTACTGTGAAAAAGGACCAATTTTCTTACGGTTTTACTTGTTTACCTAAATTGCTTCTATTATTAAACATAATTTACGTTTTACTTAAATAAATTAACTAATTGTCACCATATTTAATGTAAGACAACCATAATAGTTTCACAACAATCAAACATGTTGCCATTTTTTGTCTAATTGCATTCAATTAAATTTCAATCTTTCTCATTAAACACCAACACAGTTGAACCCTAATTAGGTTTGTACAATTAAAAATTATTCACAGATTCAACCATTTAACAACTGATTTAATCAAAACTCAAAGTTGCCTGTTAGTATTAAATTGATAGTCAATCAACTGGAAAAGGTTAGATTCAATGATTGAATTAATTTTGTCCCATTTAAGGTTTAATCAAGAAATTTGAGAGCAAATAATTGATAAATTGTTCAATATTTAAAATGAAAATTTGATCTAAAAATTTTCTAATCTTGTGAACTTGAATTGTGATTAACAGAAACTGGATTAAGAAGTGCAATTAAAAAATTGAATCCAAAAAAGTTGTCACTAAAAGACATCTTTTTTTCATTGGAATCATGGAAATGCAAAAGTACGGAAGTAATCAACTTTTGATAACAATTAAACAATTATAATGATTAATAAAGTGGCAACAATTGAAAGATGAAAATTAGATTAAAAAGATTTGTTAATCTAGAGCAAAGAAGAAGCAACAATTTAACCAACAATTAGAAGCTGAGAAGCATTTACAGAAAAAAATGTTAACAGAAAAATGAAAATACTAAAAGATTGAAAATTGGGTTTAACCAGAAAACTCAATGTAAAATGAATGGACCAAAGTTAACCACAATATTGAAATGATTATCTTAAGAGTTTCATTAAGAGTTGATATTTAAATGTAATTGTCGGCAATCAGACTAATCATTAGTTGAGTTATAATCAAAGCAACACTTTGATTTAAAGTTGATTGGCTATAGTTGATCAAGTAGAGTTGATGAAAGAGTTGAATTGGTTTCTTCATTATGATTGTTATAAAAATATACATTTCTGGATTGATGGCAAAAAAGGTTACAACTCAATCGAGTCAAACTGTTTTACTGATTGTGAAGTTTGCCTCATTTGATTGGTCCAAGATCGGATGTTAATTGTGATTAACAGATGATTAAGAGAAGAAAATTGTAAGAAAATAAGAAAAAAAAGACTAAAAATTAGCATAAATTTGAAAGAAATGCTAATCTTAATGGTTTTACTAAGGCAGGCCAATGATGGAAAGGCAACCGTTAAAGGTTCACCTTTTAGGTATCAATCATTTCCTTATACGGCCAGGTTGATGTAATTGATGAACCATTTCAACTGATAACTTATTCAATCATCATCATGATAATCAACATGATTATCAACATGATTATCGGCATGCCAAGTAAAACTGTATCATTTGATGTGACAATTTTTGTCAATATTGATGAGTGTCATTTGAAAAGTGAAAATTTTTCATCTTTTCTTAATCGTCCTTTCAATTGTTTTTATTTCACCCATTTTTTGTATGCTCATAATCATTGTCATAATTAACCATTAATATTCAACATTTACAATTAACACGGAAGTTAATGAATCTCATTTGACTGAATAAACATTGAAAAGTGAATGAACAACAATGGACAAAAACAAAATCTGTCAACATCAAGTTATTAGCTTATTTTTTTGTTTCATCTCACCATCCAGACTAACCCAATAACATGGTTATTCATTGAATTCAGGTTCACTTTGTATTCATCATCTTAATTATCTTTACATTTTTGCTCACTGATTGACAGACATTCATATTTCAATAAACTCACAACTCAAATTATTGTCATGGAAAATGTTTGCCCGAAAAAATTGAGATACAATTTGAAAATTGGGTGCAACAAAATGATATTTCATATCAACATTGTCTGTTCATCTTAAACATTGATAATTGTTGTCATTAATGGGTTAACTATTCAAGGTGAAACGCTCATTTTTAAAGCATTTGTAAGGTTCAACTACACCAAACCCAGTCAAGGTGTTGATAAGTTATTTAATCAAGTGAAGTTGTTTTTTGCAATATTTTGTTTCCCTGATACAATACAATTATCATGACAAGTTCAACCAAGCCTTTTATTGAACTTTTTTTTCTCTCCTTCTTCTTCTTCAACATAAAAATAGTGAAAATGATGATAATGATGTTTTCAAGCTTTAAAATAATAACTCTGTTAGTGTCAAGATGAGGATGAAAGATGAAGGTAAACAAACGAAGTAAAAAAAAATGAAGGTTTCATGAAGATGTAAACTCGATTCTGATAATGATTCTCATCTCACAAAATGGTTCCCATTCTGATGTCTTTTTTAGTAAACCATTTTTTAGGCTCAAGACTCTTTTTATGAATCAATTTTTGTCCTTTTACTTCACTTGATTAGACTCAAGTTTCAATTGCTTACAATTCAGGTTAATTGAAAACTCTAGTTAAAGATTTGAAACAATTGAATGGCAAAGCTTGAGATGCAAAATTTAAAAGCAATTCAAGTTTCTCTTGATCTCTCGTTCCAACTTGTCTATGTGACTTGACTGATTGATGAATAGATTGAAAATTTACTTACAGTGTATGGTGAATGATGAGTTTTACTTAAACCACTGGTTGATTGTTTAGGTGAGACACTTGATCACATTAGCTGAAGATTTAAAGGTTTTACAGAAACAATTGGAAAAGTGAAAGTTGATGAATTAAGTTGCCCACAATGTTGTCACTTTAACCAGTTACATTCATCTGTACAACTACACTCGACTAAGATGAACTTTTTGTTTATATATCGGGCACTTTAAACTTTAAACTGGGAGTCTCGAGTTTTGGTGTGAGCAGATGATAAAGAGAGGCAGGGATGACGAGAAAGGCTGGCACTAAGAGGATGACAAGATGAAGATGGAGAAAGAAAGTTTTCAACCAACTATTCCAACCTATTTCTTGATCTTGCATAAATCATATCTTGTCTCACCATCGAGTCACAAGCCGAGTGACATTAAATTGTCCAACCTAAAGAGTCACTTTCACAGCATCAAAGGCAACACTCAATGAGACCAGTTTTACGTGAAAGTATTTTTCATTTTCATCATTTCACCATTTCGCTCTCATTTGTCAAATATTTTGGTTAATTGATTTTGATTATAAAAAAAAGGTTTTATCTTGGTGCAAGTTCATTGAATTTTGATATTGAAAATGTTTCGCGGTTGATGAAGGGTTGCTACTTTGGGTTTGAAACCTGCAATTTAATCTTGTAATTTCTGGTCAACTTGAATTTTGCATTCAAGAAATGAAAAGAGTTTGATTTGAAAAGCAAAAAATTGATTTTATTTTTATTAAATATTACAAAAGTAAAAAAACAAAATTGAACAAAAACAAAAACATATAAAAAAGCGTACAAAATAATGACCCAAAACACAAAACTTGATCAACCTAATTATACATCATCTTGATTATCTGATAATAGTAATAATAATTAGTCAATTAATCATGTTGTTTCATTGTTACCTCTTTGTGAAGAGTTGAAAAAAACGAAGTGACAGAGTTTGAATGTAAATAGAGTTGCAACTAAAATCAAAAGGTAATATGGTTTAATTAAATCAATGGGCGCAATTGAATCATTTTGTAATGACAATTGTTGATGAATTTGACAATTAATGTTTACTTTTGATGATTAGCTTCTCATGCCATTCAACCTTTATCTGGTTCTGCAATGAAATCCTTTTCACTCTTTGATCTTTACATTTTCACTGTAACCTAAAGTATTAACAATTTGTTTGTTATCAAAAACTGTCAATTTTTACCTCGAGTTTGTGCCGGAATTTGTATTACTATTGCTATTTTTATGATTAAGACTATTATTATTACTATTGCTACTATTATTTATATTATGATTGTGATTATTGAGATTGCTATTATTTCGAGATGATGTTGTTGATTGGTAGACTGAGGTTGGTGTTGATGAAAAGGTTGATGATGAGGTTGATGAGGTTGATGGGGTTGAGGTTGTTCCTGGTGTTGAGGCCAATTTGATTGATTTAAGTGATTTCAGTGATTTACTTGATTTGGTCAGTTTGGGCGATGATTGAGTTGTTGATGGCGATGGCGATGGTGGCGATGATGATGATAAAGTGATTACAGAGTTTACAGGGTTATTATGATACGATGAGACTGAATATCTTGGAATGGGCTTTAAAGTTGATGTGCTTGATGAAGATGAAACCAAAGTTGATATGGAAGGTTTAGACTCAGACGAAGAAATTAAAGATGAAGATGAAGATGAAGAGGAAGAAATCAATGAAGATGAAGATGAATCAGTTTTGCTTGCTTCCCTATTGAAATGAAGACAAAAAGAGATGAAACAAAAGTAAACATTAGTCTTGAGATTGAAACATTTAGAGTTACATTTTTGCAGCAAAAAAAGCAAAACTTGATATTAATAATTTATAAATTGATCAAAGCTAAAGATGTTACCCTTTGAATACAATAACAATTGGTAAACAGCAATTAAAGAGTCAAATACGCTTAAACCCAAATCATTACAGATTCAATGAAAGTCTCAAAACTCATTAACATTACAATAAGTTTCCTTATTTGTTTCACTTTCAAACCTTTTTCCTTCGGCTTCCAGTTACAAGCAAATATTTAAATTTTGACAAACAATCAAGGTGTTGTCATTTAAGTTTAATTAGTTGCAGTTAACTGTCTTTTTTACCTCATAATTTGTCATTATCATTGATAACAATTTCAATCTTTTACCAGTCAAAGCTTTAAATAGTTTACAACTCTTGTCCGGTTAAAAATTGAACTCAATTTGGGTTTCCTTTTTTTTTTATTTCGTCTTCTCATCTTAATCATAATTCATTTACGTGAAAAAAACATTAACAATTGAACAGAAAGAGCAACCCTGATTACATTCACATGGTAACACCGGCACGTCCATACAGTTTCCTATTAAATGTTGGGTAAAATTTTCGTACCTTCATTTATACCTTTTTAATATAACCTGTAAATAAAGGATAAATTTAGTGGACTTAAGAGGTACTTTGAAAAATCATGTTTACTCTTATTGTTACCTTTATGACAATAAATTTTGTGTTTCATTAAAAATAAAAACAATAAGAAGCGTTTTTATTACTAGAAAGTAAAAGGTTAATAACAGCTGCTATTAATAACCAACTCTTAAAAATGTACAATCTATCAGTTTTAATTGCTCTCCATTTTTTGGTTAATTTTGATTGTTTCAATTTAGCTGCAGAAAGACAACATTTTGTATGTTTATGCATATTAATGGTCAAACCAGGTTAACATTTTAACCTCTTATTGTATTGATATTGGTTTGTTTGTCAACCAACAGTTGATGGTGATTTATAAATTGATGCATGTTGAACAATTTTTGTTTCATGGTTTAGTATCTATCATGGATTGAATCGGTTAATGATAGACTGGATAGAGGTAAAGTGTTCATGTTAATTGTGGCTAGTTGAGGTTTATTATTGTTGAGCTAGTTTGTCGTTGATTATGGTGATAAGTATTGAAATTGAAAAATGAAAGGTTTTCTTTTGCTTTCAAATTTTATTTTAAATATCAATATCAATCAAGTTCATTGATTGTGATTCTGAGAGATGAACAAATGATGTTTATTTATCTCTATCATCCTCATGAAACCATCAATAAAAGCAATTTTCTTCATCCTTTATGTCGCCACTTTTTTCCCTCAATACTTTGAACACATTGATTTAACCTTACAATTTGGCATCAAATGGAATCGGGTTCAGGTTCATTTTGATAATTATCATGCAAAACCATTTCTTTTTTGTTTCATTCAATCGATTATTCAATATCGAGTCAACAAGTACGAATCACCATGAAACACTTTTTACTCGTCAGTTTACAATATTAATAGAGTCTCTAAAATTGAAAGGCTATTTGAATTTTTAATTTAGTTATGATTATCATTGTTGTTATGTTGTTTATTCCCTGCTTTGACTAAGTCGACTAATTTAAATGATGCTTCGTGATGAAGATACATGAAAGGTAAACATCGAGGTGTGGCAGTTCAATAGACAGGTTCATCAGAATGCTGATTGGTACCATTTTTGTCATCGTTATTGCTATTGATTTACGGTTATCTTTTTTGATATAATTATCCATTATTAGGAGATCAATTAAACCATTTATCCAATGTTCAGTTGAAGCATTTAGTGTTTTTGGGAAAAAAATAAACTAATCAAATAAATCATAACAACAGATCAGCATCACGTATGAAAAGGGTTGACATTTGAAAGGACAATGTTTCGAGTTAACCATGAACTGTTTGATTACTTTTAAAAGATAATCTTTTCTCAACAATTGTTAACCATTATTTATATATTCATCAAAATAACTCTTAACTATTACAAGTGAAACAATACAAATTGTGTAAATTTAAAAGATTACTTTGTTTGGCTTGCGGACAGATTAATATTAAATGTGTTCAACATGTTGTATTACAATTTAATATCTTTTACGGAGTGTAGCTTTGAATGTTGATACTGATTTAAATTGTTTGAAAGTGATTTTAGTAAACGGTTTTTTTGCCATCATTAAAATAGCGAATGAATTATCAATAAAAAATCAATGAATTGGTAATGAAAGGGTCGCATTGAATTGATCGGTTTGGAAAAAGAAGGAGAAAAATGATGTTTTAATGTGATTTACTACAATAACGTTTAACTGGTTTACCGGGTTGGTCATTGGTATTGTATTCATGTAAACTATCATGTTTGACCATCAATTAGTTCATACATAATAAATGACCTTAGAGGAATGGAAAAGGTTGAAAGAAAGAGAAAAAAGAAGGGAAGGGAAGAGAAAAATGTGAATGAAGGGAACTCACTGATGAAGCTGGTGAACTCGAATTCGTTGTTGTTCAATCAATTGTTTCTTAAATTGTTCCTGTTTTTTTACTTGTTCATCTCGCTTCCTCTCTTTCCAGGCACTGACTGGAGGCAGTGAGGAAGACGATACAGTACTGTAAGAAGCTTTTACGCTAACTGATGGCCGTTTTGTTGTCCCAACTCCTCCGGAGGCTCCTTTAAATATACGAACTCCATATGAAGCTAAGTCTAAATCACCTAACGAAGTTGGCACTGAACTTGATTCAGAAGAAGGTAAAGATGGCGATGGTGAAGATTGTGTTGTATAATGGTTACGAGCTGTGGTTGGTCGATAAGTTGTTGTTGAAGTAGCTAATTGTGAAGCTAAACTTGATTTGGTTGATCCCATTGATGATACTGGACTATTATGGTAGTAATGAGATGAAGCA